AGGCCATGGACACAGCAAATGCATTAAGAGGAGGTTCATCAACATAACCAGGATTGTACCAGCCTATAAAACAAGATACTGTGCATTACAGGGGAATACTTTCCAGTTGGGAGAGCTGATGGTTGCCATGGCTATGGAGGCATACACTTGATAAATCCTGCTTTGTGATGGGAGAGTCTGGTGGGTTTTGCAAGAAAGGTTTGAAGGCAAAAAATTTCGGCAGACCCCTCACAGATACTTCCTGCCAAAATCTATTCAGATTTCCTATTCCAAAAGCAACATTTTTCAAGTGATCTAAAAAAAAAAAAAAAAACAATCATTGCAATGTACTCCATAGCGTGAAAGGGGGATTCAGCTACCCAATCACAAGAAGCAGGGAAGTGTGTGTGTGTGTGTGTGTGTGCGCGCACACACACACACACACACACACACACACAGGAAGTCACCACAAAAAAGTGACTTCTGCATTATTTATTCACATTTCATAGATGCAGGTACCTTGGAAATCTCTCCCAGTGCCCAGTCTTGGAAAACTTCCTAAATCTTGTGAGCTGCCCTGAGGCTTTATTGTGATGGGGCCACATAGAAATGTTTTAAATAAATAAATAAATAAATAAATAAATCTAGGACTGGAGATGCAAGTTTAAATCCACCCATAACCTTGGAGTTAACTGGGTGTCCTTAGGCCAATCATTATCCCTCAGCCTAACCTACCTCACAGGGGTGCTATGAGGATAAAAGAAAGGTATGTCTTGAGATTCACAAATAGTGCCTTGAGCTCCATAGAAGGGTATAACTAAGTAAGGTTGAAAATAATGTATTCTAAGTTGTTCTCAGTCTTGTCAGCTTTAAGGACTCTGCCCATATTTTCAGACAGTCATCTCAAAGCAGTCTTACCCACAATGTTCTGAGCAAATATATTCCAGTGAGCCACTGAGCAATTCCTATTCCCTAAAGGGGATCCAAAACATATTCCATCAAGTTCTACTTATTGAATAAGCAAAAGGGTGACACCTTTAACATTTCCCTAGGGATAATTCCCTGATCATTTTACACAGGTGAACTCTCACAGGTTTCAAAAGATCCTTATCCATGTCAGTAGTGACTGCATTAGACCTTTGAAAATATTAGTTTTAGTGTGGAATTTCAATAACTGAGAAGCATACTGTGGTTAAAAGCAAAAACATTCAGTACAGTTTCTATATCATATTTTCATGGCATATGCAAAGCCATGCAAAGTGTGTTTGGGGGAGATGAACAAACTTTAATGTTCCTTTAAAATAAGGATAAAACACTAATGGCTTTTCTACTTAAAAGGCCACTTCTGAATGTATTTATTGAAGGATCCTAAGATACTGCTGGGAACCTTAAAAGCCACTTCTTTTTTAAATCATTATGCTGGAAGAATTAAAAGTTGGCTTTCAATTACTGCTGATGAAACATTTCTTACTATGCCACAAGATGCTTGTATCCTTCCCTCTTTAGAAATTAAAAAGCCATAGTACTTTTATTAATTTATTCAACATTTATTTTACATTTAACAAGTTGATGTAGCAAGGTTGACAGAAGAGTGTGATTTATCTGGCAAGTGCAAAGATCAGGCACAGCCATCTCTATCATGAAATACACAAAGCTGTTATAACGGTGAGATTTCTGTCATCACAGTTGACTATTATTTAGTTTAAGTCCTTTAGATTTTATCTTGCTGAATATTTTTCTTATTTGCCAATCATCTCTCTCTCCCCAAGATATTCTCCGTTTCTCCTTTTTCTTCAACATGCTGCTTGCACGATGACCAGCAGGATGAGATAAAAGAGTTAATACCTGAAATAATCATTTGTATTACAGAGGACTAGCATTTATTAACCTGAATATTACTAAAAGTTACTGTATATTCAATAGCATTACGGTTCTGATACATTTACAAGTTTTGTGACAGTTCAATCTTCTGCAAGAACATTTCAAGAAAAACATATAACAAACAAACTTCTCAGCTAGTAAACACCTTCAGTAATTTGTTCCAGTTCTGAAACTTGCATAAAACACTTCTCAGAAGAGTGTCTCCATTAATTTCAGCGAAGGGAGTGGATTTATGGAAAAGCCTGCACACAACACCCTGATACACAGCAATCAACATTTCAGATGGCATCAGGGGGTACCTTTTGTATATTCCAATGCATGCCCAGTCTCTGGATCAATGTTAGAAGCTGGCTTGCAGTCATTTATTATAGAATTCATCTTCCTAACTACCTCCAACCCAGATAATTATAAAATAGTGGTTTCCACTCTTCCCAAAATAGTAGGCCCCTTTACAATAATAACATTCATGAAATGCTGGTTATTTGCTGGATCAATGAGCCAGTAGTAAATTCTACCCCAAATAAAATCACAAACCATGTTTTGCTTTTTCACAAACTGGTTGCAAAACAACTGGAATCATTGTTTTAAAAATGAAATGGAACAGAGCCAGAAAAATAAAAGTTGCTGTAGTTGTTAAAAGTTTGAAATCTGTACCTAGTTGTCAAAATACCTACTTATTTAAACCACATAATTATTTCAAATAAACTCTCCTCATTAGAAGTTTCATCTACTCCTGAACTACAGAGACTGACAGTGAGGTACTATGTGTCTGGTTAAAAATGTGTCATTGCTGCTGTTTTAACTTAAAGGGTTTTCCCTCATTCCATTAAATGTTTTAACATAATTCAATATCAAATAATATTTTCCTTGGATTATCACCCAATTTTTCTATCTCTTCCCAATATGGACAGTCCTTCTGTCAATTTTTTTTAGCCTTTTCTACCTAGCATCTTAAAGAAGAAGGGGACAGCAGAGGTTGAGTGGCTAGATGGAGTCACTGAAGCAGTTGGTGTGAGCTTAGGTGGACTCAGGGAGAAGGTGGAAGACAGGAGAGCCTGGAGGAATGTTGTCTGTGGGGTCATGATGGGTCAGACATGACTTTGCAACTAACATAACATATCTAGCATCTTGACTAGATCTAGGACCCTGAGATAACAAGGCATACTGTACTATTCTTCAATGATTACTAATGAAGTTTTGGTAAGGTAAAACATTTTTTCAACCAAAATTACACAAATTAGTTCAGGTGTATCAAACCAGTTCTAAATATTTCATTGCAGGCAATTTCAGCTTATGGCACACAGGTTTGGTGGGTATCTGGGACAAGTGCAAAGTTCCAACAGAAAAATCTGGGCTGACTGCCTCAAGCAGAGGACCTAACCAACCTGGATTTACTGAGATGAACTTCAAAAAGTAATCTCAGGAAAAGTTATTGCTATGACATTCCTACAGTGCTTTTCTGTGCATGGTTTTAGGATTTTTATCATGCCTCCCTTCACCTTTAGTTTTTTTTTAAATATTAATATCTTTCCTCAACAGTAACTTGCTCTAACCTCTTGATCACTTTGGTTGTCCTTTTCTGCATATTTTGAAGGCCTTTTGAAGTATGAAGACCACAGGTTGTAGAGAAGGAAGGTCAAGCAATGAGTAAATGTTTTGTAAGTGCTTAATTAATTGACTACTATAACACATTATTAAAATCACTTGTAGTACATGGCTACATTGGATCAGTCAGGTTGTCCACATGCATTTTGAGTTCTCTGTTATGAATTTACTGATTTATCTTTAAAGCATAAAAACTTTTAGCCACAGTGTTTCCTTTTAAAAAAATATGTACATTCTGGCTGACATCAGTTATGGACACATGGCTTCATGGCAAGCGACACATAAGGACACAGACGCACCACACACCTTAGATAAACTCAGCATTTTCTGTGGCCCCTTTCCTTAAACTGGGGTGTCAGCCTTGACCTTGGGATTCTGCCTCCAGATCTCCATTATCACAATTTTCTTCCAGGAGTTGGCAACCCTATTTCAATCATGACTGAACATGATCTGAACTCCACAATATAAAGGGCTATCTCTGAAAAAGGAGAGTAGCATTACCTTCATTGAACATTCACTGAAAAATGAAAAATGAGAGTAGCATTACCTTCGTTACCCAGATTCAGGCAGGACATCAGGAAAGGCTTCCTCACTGTCAGAGCAACATGACAGTGGAATCAGCTGCCTAGAGAAGTGGGGGGCTCTCCCACACTAGAGACATTCAAGGTGAAACTGGACAGCCATCTGAATGGGATGGTGTAACTTGGTGTCCTGCAGAGCAGGGAGTTGGACCCAATGGCCCCTTCCAACTCTACTATTCTATGAGTCTATGATTCCTATCATACACAAAGTGAAATAATTTGGTGGATATATTTTCCCCTCCAATTAAGGAAAGAAATATAAAAACAGAAGAATCAGACAAAATATAATAGTGTGCTATTTACTGAAGCTCAAATACTTTGCCACCTAATGAGAAGGAAGGACTCACTGAAAAAGACCCTGATGCTGGGAACAACTGAAGGGAAAAGGAGAAGGAGAGGGCAGAGGTTGAGGTGGCTGGAGAGGGTCACTGGGGAGGTGGGTTTGGCTGAACTCTAGGGGATGGTGGAGGATAGGAGAACCTGGAGGAATGTTGTCCATGGGGTCATGAAGAGTTGGGCATGACTCTGCAACTATATTGCAATGCAGTATCAACTGAAAAATGCATCCATAATGAAATCAAATGAATGCTATGTGCATCAGAGTGATGATACATTGCTGTATAATAAATTTTACAGCTGAAATAATGAATAATCAAATTAAAATCCACTTTGCATTTTTCAATTTACAAATATAGGACATAGTTCCAACCACCCAATATTTGCACAATTGTTTGCCATATATGCTATACCATAGATGGGGTGAAAGTATATCTCCAGGAATTTTGGACTTCAGTTTCTAAAATCTCCTACCAGCATGGATGATGTCAGGAATGCTGCGAATCCAAAACATCTGGAAAGCTACTTCCTACCCACTCTTGCCCTATATTGCCCTATATACAAGTCTAGAAATGTTTCCATTCTCACCTTTAAAAAATCCATACATACAATTTGTGGTGATTCTGCCAGCCCATCACAGTTTTTATTAAAGGAGCCATATGAACCTGACTCTTAGGTTGCATGTCTTAACTTAAAACATCAAATCTCATTTTAAAACACAAGGGTTTTGTGTGTGTGTGTGTGTGTGTGTGTGTGTGTGTTTAAAGGCAAGTAATACATCTTGTAACAGTTCTGTCCTTGTGTTAGAAACTTGAAGTCCATGCAGAATATCAGTGTCTATGCAGGAACTGCCATTGAAGATGGACAATAGATCTTCACTGTTTCATCCCAAGAACAATCTGCCACCTACGAAAAGCAAAAACCGTCCACTTTAGGGCTGCTAGTGAAGGACAAAAACAAGAATTTGCAGTAGTATGTGCTTGAAGAAAAAGTCACATATAATCTTTTGACAGACTAGCATACAACTTTTAAATGCTTGAAGGTGCAATTATGCAAACAAATTCACAATATTACAATGTTAGCATGAAGCAGTGTAGATCAGAATAAATAAAAATACATTCTGTGATTAAAAATATACACTTGAGATTGTAATTTCATGTATAATCCAAATAAAGATAAAATAGTATTCTAACTAATTTAATCTGCCTATAATACCCCACAGCTGTAAAACTGATATTGCACAGTCAAGAGGTCATTTCTAGAGATCAAATCAACCATTTTATTTTATCACAAACCAATTTATATATGTTTTTAAATGGTTCACAATAAAAAAACTCAAAAAGTTGAAACCATAAATTCTGTGTTACTCTAAAACTAAATTAAAAGGGCATTGTGAAGGCAAGAACATGCATTATTGTTCAATGAGCTAAAATTATCAGAGAAAAAATTCTCTATAGTGAAATACAAGACCTGTGTATTTAACAACTAGCCCAGTCTGACATTCATGATTTCCCGTCCATGTAATTGGATAGTTTTGCAAGTCATGCACAGTGGATCTCTCTTCCTCACCTACTCAGAGTGAGTGAGCAAATAAGTCTCTTCCTGTACATTAAATTGCCAAGAGGAAACAATACATTAAACACCATCTGAATAATCCCTGGGGAACTCCCACCTGTGATCAACTTAATTAACATCATGCAGCAACTACTGAACACAAATACTGCAATAATCATTTTTATCAAATCAAAGGGAGAGCAAACAGGGTTTCTATAAAATGTAGGCTTCCGAGAACCATTCTGCGTAATTGAATCCAGCTCCATTCCTGATAGTACATGGAAAAACCTAAGTGTAGCTAAGCAAAGATAGCAAAGAAAACATCAGTAGGAAATGAGTCTGATAAATAGCTGTGTGCTCCTGAAGTCTGATAGATCCTAACCAATCCCCAGGAGTCAGCACTGTGATGTGTCACTAGAAATATCTATGACAAGTGGAGTGATACATGCATCTGAAAAGACTTGCAGTTCATAGCTCATGAAAATTTAGTATTTGAATATTTAGGGTCATAATCTCCTGTATTACTAAACTTAGGAGACTACTGGGTAATACTTTGTCACCATTATTCAGCAGATTCAGATAAGACAGTAACTTGGTCATCAAAATCCAATTAAGAGTACAGATGGGCTGAAATATATACCTTGAATTGCTAAGATGGCTTTGCATGATGATGGCAGCCACAGTGGGGAGTGGTGTGTGCTGGACACCTCTGAACACTGAAGCTGTGTCACGGTGAAAGTAGCTTGTTAACAAAACTAAGAAACCACCCAGAATCCATGAGAGTTGTTTTAAGGTTTATGGTTTGTTATCTACATCAACAAATTAACCTCATTGAGTTTGGTGACACAATAGGAAGCCACGGCTTGAACATTCAAAATGGCTGTCTGTCTACACTTAGGTAAGACACTGTGGGATACCTGGTTCTGTGAACAGACCCAGTATGTACTGATAAGTGATTAGCGAACTAAAGCAGGATAGTAGCTGAATGTCCAATAACTCAGCATATGACTCTCTAAGGTGATGAGAAAAGAATACGAACAAAAGCAGAAGCTTTCTATAAGAGCCCTATTTGTACCAGGAACAGCATCTGACAACTTTTCCCTACAGCCTTGGTCATTTCTTGCCAAGCTAGCATGTAAATGTGTCCAGGTACATCTAAGCTTTGCTTCTGACCCTTGGCTGAAGTGCTTTGCCACAAACCAAGGGGTTTGTCAAGTGGTTCTACTTCTTGACTGTAACAGTGATAAGTTGCTGCAATGCAACGGTGTACTTATATGGTGCATTACCACTCTGGTTGCGGTGCTACAGAACTGTACCAGAAACAGGAACTTAGGGCATCCTCATATGAACTAGAACCACTTCTCAACTGAGAAACTGACTGTTTGCTGGCTAAGGAAAGTAAACATACCTTCATACTACAAATACCGTGGCAGAATTTTCCAGATGTTTCAAAGACATGCACTTCAAAGACATTTTGTTGGTTAGGGTACCTGGTTTTGTTGTAAGGGTTCTGGTGTTGCCATTGGCCCTTACCCAGCTTGTCAGTGACAACTAAGTCCCACCAAAAGTCTAGCTTGTTCCTTTAGTTCAATGAAGCATATTCTCATGGCTAACTGAAGCAAACATATTTAAACAATCTTTACCTATGAATAAGGAAAGGGTTGCAAAGATTCTTCAAATGCTTCATAAGTATAAAGAAACTGACGAATGTGAAAACAATCATAATAAATAGGGTGATTTAAAAATTGCGAGATGAATTAATTATGGTAAGTTTTGAATTGCAGTATTATTTAAATTAAGCATTAAAACTGATTAAAGAGGTAATGACTAAGATAATTAATTCATTTCAGTATTATGGTTATTTGTTTAACATATCATCATAAACTAACTGATTCAAGTTACAGACTCACCAGCATATCTTTAAATTGATTATAATATTATAAACAAAGTGTACTGAATCTATTTTTTCTATAATTATATTTTCTCTTAAATTTGGATTAAGGGTTTGCTTTTTTAAAATGAGAAAATATAGCAGGAAGTTAACACTATTGGAGCAGCATCATAAGGCTGGCAAAGGAAAGCCAGGTTACTTACCTTAACTGTTGTTCTTCAAGTGGTCATCTGTACATTCATGCACATGGGCTCTATGCCTGTGTGGTGTCTGTTGTTGGGAAGATTCCATAGCTAAGTGTGCTTTGCTGGGAATGCCTTCCACTCTCATCACTGCTTTGCATTCCCATAGAAGGCCTTCCCATCCCACTTCCTTAGTTCATTTGGGCTCACCACAATGGCTTTTAAACGGAAGGACGGTCAGATTTAGCTAAGATAACCAACTGTTATGACCAGAAAGTTAAGTCCCTTTTCCTTGTCATTCTCGTCTTTTGGACTGAGTCCATGCACATATCAGTCTTCCTGTTAAAAAGCTCTTCTGTATCAAAAGGTAGATTCTCAACATAGGAAGTGGCTTCTTGAAAGAGACTAGCCAAGTGGAGCCAAGCATGGCTCTGGATTTCCACCACATTGATGTGGGCTTTTATTTATTGGATTTCTTTGAAAGCCACTCATTAGCATCATACTCTCTGGGTAGTCATTACAATAATGGCTTTTGTGTAGCAGGCTGCATGGTGGAGGGCTGTGCTGATTTTTGGCATGGCAGACTTAATGCTTCAGACTGAAGGACATCTTCAGGGAGAACATTTTCTGCCAGAGGAAGAGTTGATAGCAGGCCATGGTGGCCTCATCGTTGGATACATGGAGGCCCAGGGCAAGGGATGCATAGCCTCATCTCACCATCCTGTCCATGTGGCACCCTTCTCTGTGTACTGGTGCCAAATGCTCTTGTTGCTGACTCACTTGGGCTGATTCCATTATAATGTGAATTTGTGCTGGAAAAGGAGAGGGATGTCCTGCACCCTATACATCCCCTCCAACCATTTAGATGACTGCAATAAGGTTGGAAGTATCTTCCAGCTTTGTCGGATCACCTGCAGCAGTGTTGACAAATGCAGGATTGCCAATGGCATTGAATCCTCAGTATGGATGGGACCATGCTGAAGCTGTCACCTTTTCTGGGGTCTCAAGACTGTGCAACCTCACCATTCAGAGCACCTGCTCAGAGAATCTGCCCAAATCCTCTGAGGGAGATGCTGGCTCTTAGCTGGTAATGGGTAGACTGTGGGGGAAGTCAGCGGATCCACTAAGGCCAATGATACCAACTCTGATGGGTAGTTTTCAGGGCATGAAAAAAAACTGAAGCTGGCCAGGGCATGTTTGTGGTAGCTGCCAGTTGGTGGGCTATGGAGGTGCTCATGATGGGATGGTCTCACTTGCTCCTGCAGTAGTCTGGATAAGGGGAGTCTCAATAAGGGAAGGGCAGTAGGCAAGTTCCTGGTCCTGGAAATACCACTATTGGTCATGATGTAACTGATGTCAATATAAGACTGACCATCCAGAGCGCCAATCCTAGTCCATAAGTGGAAATCTGGACTGATCCCATCAACGAGAGAGTTCAGAGGTAGGCTGGGGTGGTCTTGGTGAGATGAGCATGGAATGGCATGACAGCAAGGCAGGCACAGAGCAGTGTGAAGGTGCCTCAAGTAGAAAGTTGTAAGACTGCAAGGCTTTGGAAGGGGGCAAGGTGGAGTACAAGGTAAGGAGTCCTGAATTTTACTCTCTGAGACTGAGGTTGCCAAGACTGGATTTTGTCCCAGTGTTGGCTAAGTGCTCAGCCAGTTCCTAATTGCTCGGCCCTGATGAATCCTTCTATATCAAGGGTGAGTGGTGTGATGGTGATCTCTTCTTGTACTTCCCCTTGGCCAACTCCACCATTTCCTTCATCCGCTTGGCCTTGTGGGCATTGATGAAGCACTGGGTGTTGGGCAGACTGAGCAGTAACAGGAGCCCTACTGTAGCTGACACCAGCCACAACATGGCAGAGGCCTGAGAGGGACATGGGTGATCCAGCTCCCAAGGAGGCGTTCACACCCCAGAGGGTACAGTTCCAGAGCTCTGCTCCAAGGTGGCTGACCCTGTTCTACCAGGCCTGCTTGGTGAAGGCATAGCAGAGCAGGCATGAATCTACCAGGTATCTTGTGCCATGGCAAAAAAGACACAAAGAGTGTCTGTCCATTGGGGAATGTTTACTTCTGCAATGAACACATTTCTGAAAGGCTGCCTTAAGTGCCAGCAGAAGAAAGGTTGAAAGAATGAAGGAGATGATAGTGAGGGGAAATCCAAAAGAAGAGGAGGATGTTTGTTTGTTATAAGAAAGAGCAAAAGGAAGATTACAAGGGTAAGAAGTGAAGAAATGAAGAATGAAAAGGTTAGCTGGCATGACCAAGAAGCAGGAAAAA